CCCCGGGCCCGCACGCCTGGGTCCTTCGGGGTGACGCTAAGCCCCGCCCACGCCCCCCCGCGGTGACTCACCCCCCCCCACCTAATTTTAGTGATGACCTCATCCACCGGCTCCACTGTTGCCATGGCAACTCCCCCCCCCAAATTTTCAGGGGAGCTGGATCAGGCCTGATCCCCCCCCCGGGACCCCTCAGCCCCTGGGGCCCCCCCGGACACGTGGGTCCCCCACCAGCCCTGCCTCAGTTTCCCCTGGCACGTTTGCACACCGTGTGCGGCCTTGCACGCCCTCTTGCACGCTCCCGCGCACTCTTGCACACTTGTGCACACCCTTACGTGCCCATACGCCCTCTTGCACACTCGTGCATCCTCTCGAACGCTCGTGTGCCCTCTGTGCATTACAGCCCCCCCCGTGTCCCCCCTGGCCTAGTGGGTGCACAAGCATAGGAGTGCACACACGGGTGGGAGGAAGGGTACATGTGTGCACACACACAAACTGGGGGTGCACACACAGGAGAGGGTGTGCAAACACGTGTAGGGGTGCACGCACGTGTGCAAGGGGCTGCAGGTGCCTGCAAGGGGTGCCCAGAGGTGCAGGGCTGCACGTGGGGGTGCAAGGGGGGGTGCACGGGTGCTTAAGGGTGCATCTGGGTGCAAGGGAGTGCATAGACGTGCTGGGGGTGCACACACATGTGGGGCTGCACGTGTGAGTGCAAGGGGTTGCAGAGCATACAAGGGGGTGCATGCAAGTGCAAGGGGTTACACATATGGAGCTGCACACGGGGGTGCACGGGCACGTGGGGCTGCCCACATTTGTACAGGGGTGCCCACGCATGCAAGGGGGTGCCCCTGGGTGCAAGGGGGTGCACATACACGTGGGGATGCAGACATGCATGCAAGTGGGTTCACATGCATGTAAAGGGGTGCCCATGCCTGCAAGGGGCTGCCCATGGGTGCAAGTGGGTGTACACGCGTGTAAAGGGGTGCCCACGCATGCAAGGGGGTGCCCATGGGTGCATCGGGGTGTGCATACACACACGCGTGGGGCTGCGTAGATGGGTGCAAGTGGGTGCCCATGCGTGTAAAGGGGTGCCCGTGCATGCAAGGGGCTACCCGTGGGTGCAAGGGGGTGCCCATGCGTGTAAAGGGATGCCCACGCATGCAAGGGGCTACCCGTGGGTGCAAGGCAGGGTGCACCCCCCCGGTCCCACTGACACCCCTCCCGCAGGCCGGGGGGCGGCGGGGGGGCGCGGGGGGCCCCCCGCCATGGCCTGCCTGCACGAGACGCGGACGCCCTCGCCCTCGCTGGCGCTGGCCTCGGACGGGACCCCGGAGCAGGAGCTGACCCCCACGCAGTGCGTGCTGCGCGACGTG